GTCTGGTCTTGTGTCTGCTCTTGTGTCTGCTCTTGTGCCTGGTCTTGTGCATTGTCTTGTGTCTGATCTTGTGTCTGGTTTCGTGATGGACTCAACTACAACACTGGTTACCTGAGACACATCTCTGGGCGCATTTTTAAGGGCTGTACTGAAAATATAAAATGCATTGCAATTAAAATGCAAAACCATTTTAATTGCTGCACTTTGGATATCACAGTAAAAATGGACTCCCAGTAAACGCACTTTTACTCAAACTTTTCAGACTTTTTCCTGCCTATCATGAACGCTCTTCTTACCTTCAAGCGCCTGAGGGTTGATGATGTGCATGGCTACTGGCAGGGGATCAACACCTGTCACTGTGCCTAGGGCACTCAAATCAAGATCTGAATACATGTAAAGAAGTCAACAAAGCAGGCAAACGTTAACATGCGTGCACCAAGAGCAGACGTACAACCCCATCTTTAATTTTCTTGGGGTTGGCTACAGTCATGCCTGCTTTACATAAGGCACTGAGGCACAATGTAACAACTGCTGCATTGCTTTATCAGTAAGAGTAGGCATAGAAAATCCAACCACAGTGTCAAGCGCTTTGACTGAATGAAGATGCAAACACGCGCACATTTCTGTCCATCCTTTTTTCCCTCAGAATGAGCACTGGTATCAACTGGTCTGTGGACTACTCTCTCAAGAGAGGACACATTGCATGAGCACACTGGTTTCAGCAAACACATGTGTGTATGTATGCATACACCACAGACAACATGCCTGACCATTTGTTGAAATATATTGTCCACAGGGGTTATGACAGGACCTAACTCAAGGATGGTTGCACCTTGGCAAGGTCATTCAAGTTTCTTGTGACATCACTGCTCACTGTCTCATGGATTTGACAAAAGAATTCCTTACTTTGATTGTTCACACTGAATTTATGCATAAATCCACGAGCACTTGGGCCAAAAAAGGTTTTCAACAAAGCATGAAATGACTTTAATAATTATTTAAACTGGTAAAATGCAACACAAGTTCTAATTAGTGTTTGTATGTGCACCTCTGAGCCAGCGATGTGTGGCAGACGTTGCTCCGTCTGCTTGAACTGCTGCATCCTTACTCCTCTCTTTCCGTCTTTCTCTTCTCCGCCCTTTTCTAGGGGTCCTCTCGCTTCTTGTCACTGTCCTGCTCTCCGTGTAAGACGTGAAGCTTTGGCTGTGGGTTACCGACTCCGTCCGAGTCCTGCTGTCCTCGTCTGTTGAGAAATCCTCCATGTCCGAGTCCGTGCCATGGGAGTGAAAATCATCACTGTAGCTCCGGCTTGTTTTTGTCGCAGTGGAACGCGTCACAGAGTCCGGCTGCTGGCTGTGAATAGACATCTGCCGCCTGGTATCTTCCTCACTGGTGACCTCTGAGTGGGAATCCGGCACGGTTCTCGTGCTCGTCCCGGCCGCGGACGGTGATTCTGTCCCTGAGACGAAAGTGTCGTCGGCGTAAACCTCCCCCGGGGTTTTGCTCCCGGATCTCCTCAAAGTTCCTTCGGAGAGGACCTCCGAAATGGAATATTCGCCCTCTGTGTCAATCTCATCGGCGCTGACATGCTCACTGTCCTTCCCCGTGCGATGTTTTCCATCACGTTTTGGGGTCATCTCCCGGAACAGAAGGTCATCGACCGTCTGCAAACCAGCGAAGATGTCCTTCTTGAACGAGCTATGCTCAGATATTTCATCAGAGATGCTGTCGTACTTTTCCCCAGCTGATGGTTTGGTTTTTGATGCAGGACTACTTGTAAGGGTTGCCGCATTTCCAATTGACTCCAAATCTTCCAGCTGCATGATGTTAGCGTGTATTCCTGAACAAATTCAGAATTTATCACAAGTGAATAAATTAAGAAATTATCACAAGTGAATAAATTAAGAAATTACCACAAGTGAATGAATTAAGAAATTACCGATATCACAAGTGAATAAATTAAGAATTTACCACAAGTGAATAAATTAAGAAATTACCACAAATGAATAAATTAAGAATTGACCACAAGTGACATTAATATAAAAGAAGGTTTAGGTTTCTGAAAATGTTGCAGTGTCCAACAATAAGCAGGCATTTATCTCTCTTATCTCCAGAGGAATTGGGCAAATTCAGTGTTTCTTAAATTTGTACGATAATTGAAACAGCTCCTTTTGTCAACTGACTTCGTAATGACAATAAAGCAAGAAAAATGTGAAAATTATGCCACCACTCATTGCACTGAAAGGCACTTAATAGTAAGCAGGTGGGGTGGTGGTATAATGTTTCGAGGTGATGTTGAAACGGTGTTTCCAAGGGCTGATGTGAATACAATTTATGCCTGATGTCAAAGCGAAAAGGGCACATCTGAACTGAACATACTGGTTATATGAATAACTGCGAGTTACCAATTTCACTAAGTCTGGATGGCCAGGATTTTTTCGACACCGGAGCAACAGCAACCCAACCTACCACTAAAAAGGTTACCTTCCTCTTCACCATCTATGCTTTCAGCAACGGAAGGTACTGACTCATCAGCTACCACACTATCTGCGGACAGAGAATCGGCGTCTCTCGATGCAGTTACTGTTTTGGCAGCTGGGGTGGCCGGCCTTGGCACTGGCGTGGATTTCACAGCCGATGGGGGCTGGCTTTCCTGAAATGTACGGACACATTGAAATGCAATGTATGCCCCGTGTTCAGGGTAAGCCAGGTCCTAACAAATGACTGCGAGTAAGAGCCCATTGATATGGATGAGTGACAATTATAACTAAATCACAGAAACTGGTACCCAGCATGAAATTTTATGTTTACAAAAGACGGAAACCATTTAGCACTGACCCTCCACAGTGTTGATGGTGCCCCCCCCGCAGGGTGAATCAAAGGCACAAGAAGGAAGTGCTCGATTGTGCCAGTCAGTCTATGATATCATACGTACTGAGACCACTGATTGGCCATAATGAGCTATTTCATCGAGATACAGTTTTTAAAAAACAGTTCTTACATACAGTGGTATAATTTAGGTTCCCATAAAAACACAGTGATTCAGCACCCCATTGCATAATTTGTCCACTCTCATTTGTTTTTTGGCAGTACTGATCTCGGTTTAAATGGGATAAGACTTAACAATAAAATAGTCTGTCTTGAAGGAACGAAGCAAACGACATAGATGTAATGAAACTTCTGGTCACACTGTAAAGTCTGGATGTAAAATTGAAAAGTGTTAGTAGTTACAACAATCAAAGCAATTCAAAGAATGTCATCAAAAATACATGTACTTTGATCTTCATGATGAAACATGCTTTTTAGCTTCAATATTGGAGGGTGTGAATATTGTTTGGGTGTGGTTTTCCCTGCTGTTGAAAAGGTAATTACTTAAAGCACAGCCTATACTTCGAGTCAACAACCTGACAGATGTGACACTTCGTTTTAGAAGGTGTAACAATCCTACCTGTACCTTAGTGTCCTTGGATTTTTTGCGTGGTTGATTATCTCTGATCGGAGGGATTTCTGGGGAGCTTGTTGGTGAGAGATTCATGATAAAGTCTTGCAGGTCTTCTTCATCACTGTCCAGTCTAAATGCTGAGGGTGCTGTCCGTGACAGCTTTGACGCTCCTGTTATGCCGTTTTTCTTCGGTGTCGATGTCATAAAGTCACCCCGTCGTCCCCTGGGCAAAGACGTGTCATCGTTTGCCCTCATCTTGGTCGTAGTGGACTTTGCATCATCTGGCTGCCCCTGCTTGGCAGGTTTCTTCAGGAAACGACTTCCCGTTCCCTCTTCTGCATCTGTTTTTGACTGATTGTTGCTGGGCTGTCTCAATGCAGCCGACTTCTTGAGGAATTTGTTTCCATCCCGGCCAAAGTCGCTGTCATCTTGGTCGTCACTCTCGCCGACGTAGAATGAAGGCCTGGCCGACTTCTTCAAGAACTTACTGATAGCCCTCTTGGGCTCGCCGTTGTCGCTGCTGAGCTGGTGGCCAAGCGGGGTAGCTTTGTCAGTGTTGCCGGTGGGCAACTTTGCTTTACCTCCCCCCCTGCTGACACCTCTGCTTGCTCCGCCCTCAAGGGGCCTGCAATCCTTACCGCTGTCATCGCTCAGCAAAATGTCCAGGTCGCTCTCGGTGTCCCGCAGGTTCTCGGCACTCCGCCTCTGCTCGGCAAACTTGGCACCCAGCCGGGCCGCCTTCTGCAGGGCGGCTGAGGCATAGACGGGTACAGACCTGTTCAGGAAGCCGGGCATGGTGGCGGATTTCTTAAGGGAGGAGGCAGCGGGGCTGCCCCCTGAGAGTGTCTCTTGCTTCCGGCGTAAGGTATCACTGTTCTCAAGGGTTTGACTGCGGCTCGTCTTGACAAAGCGGCTTGCTGACAGGCTGGGCCGCCCGCCACGACCTCCCAGCTCATCACTGGAGAGGCTGAGGTCACTGAGGTCATCACTGAGGGCGCCCTCCGTCAACTTGCCAGTGGCCTGGGAGACTTTACGGTTGAGCTTGCTCAAGTAGGCCTGTGACAGAAAAAAAAACAGTAATCTAACCAGGTGTACTTTAATTTTCTGAAAGTTTGTCCGAGTTTAGCTTTCTTTCCAAAACAAAAGCACAATGCTTTACGCCTGTGAACTGATCTACATACATGTGTCTTTCAGTCAAGTATTTTCTAGTATGGTCATTTACATGAGAAGTAGTATAAGGTTTATCAAATAACTCTTGATGCGAACAAGTAGGCAAATAGAAAAATGAACTACCGGAACATGACTGTTCTAATTCGTTCCTACATGATGCCATGTTGGTTCTTGAAGTAAACAGCAAATCAGGACTGCCTTTTTGAGCATATACCGGTATATATATACATGTGCATGACAAACTCGTACAACAAAGCTAACTGCAGGCTAGGCTTGAACTTTGTGTGAACAGGTCTCTCTCAAATGACATCACTTCCCACAGATTGACACAGGCATTGATTTTAGACTTCAAACTTTTGTGATGCACATTAGGTGCACCATATGTTGAGATGTTTTGATCAACCGAGCGTGCGTGTACAGAACATAAATTTGCACACCTCACGTGCAAACACTTGTTGGCATTGTATATGCAGTCGTAGTCTTGCTGCTGGCGTTAAAATTCCCAAAATGAAGCAGAAGTACCCCAGTTACTTGATCTACGATGTGCATGTTGGATGCAATCGGTCAATCTGTATGATCATGCAACCTTGGCACAAGGATCTGTCAATCTTAGTTCATGATTTGCTGATAATCCTGCCACCAGCCAATTGCCTCTTCTTTCTAACTCACGGATGTGGAAGACCGTTTCAAACACGGGATGTAAAGTTGGGGATTCCACACAGGAATGAATGATGGAACGACACATCGTTCAAAAATGCTGATTGGCTGATTGCACCCAACACATACAGAAACACTTACGTTGAGATCGTCGTCATCTTTCTTTCGTTCCGCACTTGCACCCTGTCCTCGGTTTGGGCCCGTGGGGGCAGAGAGCCTCTTGCCCTGTAGATGCTGTTGCGCTCTGTCAAGCGCCGATGGTTGATTGGAGAATCTCCTTTGCATTATGCCCACTGAGTAAAGGATAGAAGTTCAAAGCATATGTACAATTCTTGAGAGGTAACACTATATGTCTTCAAAAACCAGCCAAATATTGAAACATACATGTATGTTGTTCTGGTACCATGAAAGATGTACTTTAAAATTTCGGCCTGCAATATATCTTGATGATGATCACATGACCAAAAGGGAGTAAATGACTTTACAATATGGCAAAGATTCTGCAAAAAATTGTCTTGCTTGTAAAAATCTGATAAACCCCCCAAAATTTGCAAACTCCAGTCTATTACGAAAGAAAGAATTTCATATCAGACCGTCATGATTTTCAAGTGTCATAAACCCCATCATGTTGACTCTTTGAACCTGTTCCCCTAGCCAAGGTAGACCAAAGTTGACCTACAAATACATGTTTTCCCCTGGCTGAAACCAGGGAGGTGTTAAAACGCTCCGAAAATGAACAGTCATCAGCTGACCACGTTGACTGATCGTAGTCATGCTGTAACACTGTTACCCCTGAACTATGCATACATGTATGGAGTTTATCATGCTCAACATACTTGTACTTTGCCTAGCAATGTAGCAGAGCAGAGCTTGCAACGAACCCCACTGACTAGGGATAATACGTGTAGTTCTGGGGATATGTTAGGCACAGTCGGTCGATCGCTGCTCTTATGATTAGTTGACAATTCTTCCATTAGGCCATTGCCTTGTTGGAAAGATCATGAATATGATCTATTTTATGATGTATGGACAACGCTTGATAACTTATGCACAAACCCTACACGACAGGTCTGGAAAATTGTTTTTTCTTTATATTTCTTCCAGTGAATTGGACTTTTGGGGACAGTTTATTGCTTTCAGATGGCTAGACCACAGCATACTCCCAGAACTGTGTGAGGTTTGTAGTCCACTGCGCTTCCAATTCATGGGAGCATGGTGGATGACAAACCCCGCAGTAAGCTAATCATACTTCCTGAACAGTTATATAGTAAGCTAAGGCACTATGGAGCAATGACTGACATTAAATGATACGTGTGCTTTCTGCAGTACATGTACCGTGCGTGACCGTTACCCCCAGAACTTTCGTGGGAGCAGGGCGGACGTCGGACCCCACAGTTCTGGGGGCCGGGGTAGTCTCCTGGATAGTTAAACCAACATGACCAACAACTGGCATCACTGACTGAATGACCAAAAATTAAAGAAATCCTCACTAAAACACGCTTATTCGAGGTTACTGAACGATTTAAAGTGATTCTCACCTCAGTACATGGTCTCGTGTTAAGAAGCTTTCGGGATTTCACAATAACCCTGATTTAAATTGCCACGAATTTCGTCCAACTTCGAAATCGAATATCGAGTGGGCAAAGAAATTGCATGTAAACAATCTTAAGGGCGCCCTCTGTCAAATTGGCTGGTGACAAAATGTAAACATGGCCACGGCAAGCGGTGAAGCTGGAAGCAGTGCGAAAGTTGTCAAGAAAAGAAGGCCTGGAAACACGAATGTAAGGGTCGATTTGTCACAAATATTTATCAGTGGTATACGGGTACCATTTCCTTGGGCCTGGAGATGGATGAAATGTACCGTTAATGGTTGTTGAATAGTTGTTTATTGGGCGGAGAGATTTGCCTTAGATTAACATGACTGAGTGACATTTGAGGTGACGTGGGTCATGTATGTACCGTATGATGTAGGCCCTCATGCATAGAGTAATAAAACTGGCCTTGCATTTTGCAGACCTTGTTTCCAAATTATAATAGTATGAGAAAATTACTTACATGTTTAGCCGGCGTTTAGCCCAGATGGACTCCCTGAAATGAATACAGCGTCCAACCTGGGCTAGCCGGCGCTGTACTTCCAAATTTGAGCATGGTGTGTGGTCTAGTCATGCTAGTAGATAGTGCCTACATCGTATTAATTTATTAATTTGGTGAAAAGAGGGCAGGGCTTTGAATTTGATCATGCTGATTTTTTAGGAAAATTACGGGATGAAAAGAAAAACTGAAAATATGAATGGTTACACTGTCCAAGCTGGTTTTGTCAAACATTGTAGATTAGCATGGTTGATTGGTGAAAAGCTCCACCATGTCCACTAGAGCCAATTTCTGACTGTACTAGATGAACGAGGGGAGAGTAAGCGTATTACACGTAGAAACAACAAGCGAAGCGAAGATGGTGATTTGCATTGGGATGCATCAGTTTGAGTGTCAATTTTTACTTCCCCTTATCAAAATAATCTGCCAGAACTGCAGGCCTTGCTCTAACTTATTTTTCCTGGCTAACCCACTGGGTTAGTAAACTGGATATTTTACCAGCCCGTATATAAAAAATTTTTTAAACCCAAAATTTGTCATCAGCTTACCAATGCAGAATTTGTCATTTCGGAAAATAAAAGGCTCATGGTATAAATAATAAAGAGGCATGTATGTCAGTAAAAGTCACTGGAGTCACTGGTCACGGAGCCAGGATCAAAATCATCTCTTTGCTCCGTCTTTCCTGTCATTTGGGTTCCTTATGTTTGGCAAAAATTGCCACTTTTTGCTTACTTTCCGACCTTCGAACGTGCGCGGTGAAGGAGAGAATACTTGTTTCCAATCAGAAGAGGGTGCTGTTTGCACGTGGCTTTGTGTAGACTTCTTATCAAACCCAGTATAGCTAGCTGTGGTCGGTTAAGGTCAGAAAAATTGATCAGGCTAAAAAAAATAAATACTTCTGGTTTCAGTTTCCCAACCCACCCTAATTTTTGGGCGCGACCCTAAAATTTTTATCGGCAAGTTAGAAAAACAAATTTACAAAATTAAAAAATATATATAAATTAATGCTGATGTCTTTTCTGTCTTCACAAAACACCTTTCAACAACCCCCTCTCGTGTTAAAACGTTTGATTTTATATGTTTTCCTACTTACATTTGCAATTTTTGAAAAGAAACTTCGGTCATTTTCACAAGTTCCACTCGTGTTTCGCTGTCGCAGTGGTGGAAACATGTACACAAAGCGCAATACATGAAAGCATAGCTGCGTTGGTTCCCACCACGCTGCGCCCATGCAAAAGAACGTGTGATGGAAATGTGCTAATCAGTCTTTACATCCCAGTTGATTAAAACTACATCAGTGTTGTACACACATGCAGCCATACAGCTGCAGGTCGAAAAAACATTGATGTTGCAAGAGGATTTCTGCAAGTTAATTGACAGAACTTGGTCTCTAAGTTTATGAATTTATTTTCTGTGCTCACCAGTTCCTGCCACGGCACATGGTTTATCGCCCGCTCATCTGGATGCATCATGGAGGCTTACCTCACAATACACGGGCATTGCTGGCCAGGTTGCTGTCGTGATTACCTGACTAGCATTGTGTGATTTGTCTGTAACTCTTATGAATTGTCAACTACAGAAATTTGTACATATATATATTAAGACATGTTTTATAATTGTTTGAGACAATTTTTGGAAGCTTTCATCCCCATTCAGGCTATTACATCAGCACAAAAAAAATTGACCAAACAAAATTCCAACCCACCGATACTGTATTTGAGAGACATGTAATCGGAAGCAGAAGTGGCCTAAACAGTGAACGAGAATAGTGTGCACGTGTGGTATAGCGCTGTACCATGTGCTATGCTACACCAGCACTACAACCCACCAGTCTACTCTGTTCATGGCATTCGCGGTCGCTTATCGCCCTGTCACGCGAGCATCACGTTTCAAAAACTCAAGTAAAAACACATCCGCAATGACTCAGTTTTTGCAATCTTGTATTTATTATCACAAAAAGCATTATTTATTTTGATCTAAATTTTAACAGGTAGGCTTATTCTGAATTTTTCACTAGCCCACTGGGCAACCAAGGAAGCAAGTTTAGGTAGCCCGCAGCATTTTTTGCTAGAATTTGTATGCCAGGCTAGTACTATTTTGAGGCCAGGAACTGTGAATTTATGGAAAGAAAAAGTGATTTTGCTGATGATGGAAGGATTGGAAGGTGTGCTTTAAGATAGCACAGTGGTTGACTTAATGCCCCACAGGAGGGGGTTTTTTAGCCACTTCATCCTGAATGACATGTAGGGTTTCCTGGTTCATGTAACTTTCTGTTTAAACGTGAATTTTTGTACAACACTGGATGAGGTTTATACTTGTTCCCTCGCTTGAGCGACTTTCATTGCGTTTGTACACACACTGACGGAGCGGGTTGCACTATTCTGTGGAGGTTGAGCATATGCACATGTCTTGGGGAGCCCTCCACTGGCTGTGGGTCATGGCTGAGCTTTATAGCAAACATTGCTCCGTGACATTGTCTTGGGAGTTTTTAAAAAAGTGATGCTACGTTGAGAAATGTTGCCAAAATCTCAAACAAACGACCACTGAGGGTCAACACTGGAGTTGTTCATTTCTTATGCCCTGACTTGCCATTTCACATTCCCTGTAGGTTCTGGAATGCAGCGTGTGTGAGGACGTCTTCAGCCTGCAGGGCGAGAAGGTCCCCCGCCTTCTCCTCTGTGGCCACACCCTCTGCCACGAGTGCCTGACACGCCTCTCCCCCCACGGCCGCACCCTCCTCTGCCCCTTTGACCGCCAGCCAACCGAGCTGGGCGACTCCGGGGTATGGGGGCTGAAGAAGAACTTTGCCCTGCTGGAGCTGCTGGAGAGACTACAGCTGGCCCGGGACGGACCGTGCGGGGCCGTAGTGTGGCCGGACAGCAGGCAGTCCTCAGGGTTGAAGGCAAGTCATCAAATTGATCCTTCAATTTACCTATACTCGAGCACCATTTAGCAAAGCCCTGATCTCTTTTGGGAGGATTCGCCCAACAGACATATGTGCAATTGACTGACCAGGAGTTGAGAATCATGGTCATCAATCATGCTTATTTCTATGGAGCAAATCCCAGACAGTGTAATCTTCACATCTCCAACATGAGTTTTCTTTATCTGGTTGCTTTATTAAATGTATCTCATCAGCCTGTGGTTACAATTGCAAAATGTGTCCGCAGATCAAGTGAATAAATAGCTTTTTTCAGGCCGTGTGTGTCCTGCATTGGCAAAACGTTTATGCTTGATTTCATTACCTTTGAGAGTGTAAAACTAACATCTAAGAATTAAAAGTAAAGAAATTGGCTCCTTTGATTTTGCCTTCCCTTCTGACGTGCCAATCACAGGTCGTCACCAGTCATCGCAAGCAAATGACGGGTCCTCACTGGCCTATTATCACCCCTCACTCGTGATTACAGTCCAATTAAAGGCCCTAGCAAGCCCCTCGCAAGCCTGTCGCAAACTCTCACAAGTCAGTCACAAGCCATTCACGCCAGCACATGTAATTGTCCCGTCTCAAGTCACAAGATGTGCAGATGCACTGTGACAAAAGCATTCTGGGGTCATTGTTCAGGGCTGATATGTCAGGTCCAAAGGCCTGCATCGTGGTGGGAGTTACATGTACAATACTTCGCAGTTGACTGGGTCCCATTTCTTCTGATGCCTGCAGAACCTGATCCCCTGTGACGAGAACGAGGACCACATCGCGTCTATCTACTGCACCGTCTGCAGCACCCACCTGTGCGGCGAGTGCGCCCGTGCCACCCACTCCACTCGCACCCTGGCCAAGCACAAGCGCATCCCTCTGTCAGAGAAACCCCGTGAGCGGCCTAGCTGCCCCCACCACCAGCCGCACCTGGTGGAGTTTGTGTGCAAGGAGGCCGGGTGCCAGGCTAACCCCCTCATGTGCTTTGTGTGCAAAGAGTACGGCACCCACAGGGGTCACAAGGTCCGGACTTTCCTCTCCATGTTTTCCTTTTATTCATGGGGAAAAAGTTGCATTCAGAGTTGATAGCAACAGCACAGGTTATTTGCTCCTTACGCTTGAGAAAAATGAGACTTACAAACTGGATACACACCAGTAGTTTGTCACTGAATCCCATTTAATTTGTGTTTATATTATTAATAATTTCTGGGGATGACACCAAGGATTCCTCACCGTAAGCACCGTAGATACTTTAGCTGGCAAACCTGAAGAAACCTGTAGAGAGGAGACAGTGAGAAGCAGTTACAGTTTTAGAGGTAGGAGGAAAACCCCAGAGGAATATTCTGGGTGAAACCCACAGAATTATTTTGGGACTGAAAACCCAATCCACATGTGGACCGGGCCGGGATTTGAACCCGGAACACAGAGGTGGAAGGCGAGGAAAGAACCACTACGCCAACGCGATTCCCCTTACTTGTACAAAACAACATGCTGTAGTTAGGGGTGAAAATGACATACATGAAGCTAAACTCTGCTCTCAGCAATGAAGGCGAGAATGTTACAATGGTATCATCCAGACAGTTGTAACTTTGATAGAGCAGATGGTGTGAACATATTGTAACAAGTCATTTTCCAGTGCTAGGGGGATTTTCACGTGGCAAAGCAAGGAGGTACTGAACTCACGTAAACAGTGTCATTGTTGCACAAGGCCGGCGGTCTTTGTTATCCACATTGGCAAACTTTCCATACATGTAACATTCTCAACATTGGCATTTTTGGTATCAGTGGTTTATACCCAGTTACTAAATTTAGGTTCCCTTGACATGACGTTTTCTGTTTCCTCAAGTTAACGGTATGTACATGTATATGTGGTAGAAAGGACAGAGCGGTGAATAGGAGTGGAATGCCTAGCCCACACTTACAGAATGCATCCAATTGGATTTGAACCCCTGACCATTCATTTGCTAGTCACAGAAGCCGAAGTATTCATTCCGAGGTTTACAGTTTGAAGGCTGTGTGGGTATGGATACGGTATCCTGCAGTTTTGTGTACATGTAAATGCAGCAACCTGAGCACCCTGTTTTTCTGTTTAAGGAAAACTGTTCTGTGAGTTGTGGATTTAAGCTGCGCATACTTTTTGGGAAAAGTGTCTTTAATTTGCTTCACAACTTGTGCAATAAAATGTGATATGAATAAAGTTCCACCATTGCATATACTTTCATGAAATCACCCGCTGATCTGTTAGATCCTGACTAATTCCGCTGTCTTTGCATCTTACTTTCTGGTAATTTTCTTCTCTTTTCCTGTGGACCCACGCAGCACGCTCTACTCCAGCAGGAGGCGGAGGGGCGTCGCAGCGCCATCATTGAGGTGGCCCAGCGGGTGCGACCCTTCACAGAGGAGGTGTCGGAGGTGGGGCGGCGGCTGTCGGAGGTGATCCAGCAGATTGAAGGAGGTGTGCAGGTGGTGGAAGACCTGGATGGAATCGCCGAGCCCAGACACGTGAGTGTTGCCATCTACAGGGTCATATTATGCAGTAGGCACCGTGCCTGTTCAGTACAGCGCAAGAGCCTGAGAACAGTTTGCCTCGAAATAAAACCACCAACATTACATGTACCTGCATTCACATTGGACTCTTTTTGGGTGAACTTAAAGAGACTCTTGTCAATTTGACAAGATTAAATCCTCTCTGGACAGCCAGTAAACTGTCAGTATTGTCAAGTGTCAATAGTTGGTCGTCAGCTTTTATCCTCCACAGCATCAAGTTTGACAGAGCCAACCGAGTTGTGAAAGAATGACATTATTAATTTTATGTCACTGGAAAGTCCCATTGGGATGGTCACTGTGCTGTAAAATTTCCATTTTGATGATGTGAATGCTGTTTGACCTCTGTTGTTGTCCTGATGGACCAAGATTTTTGGAAATGACTCTACCCTAGCACAGTTGAATCGGCCTTTGGTAAATCAAAACTGTAACTAAAAACAAATCACAAATTTACCAATGAAAAACTTGAATAGGGAACTAAAAATCATAGTTAGGACATATCTTGTGTCCAGCATACATGGCAATGCACCGTGGCATTCTGAACAATCTTATTTTATTTTATTGCGGTAAACAGAAGAGTAGAATGCAAAATGAACCTGGTGGTATCGTAAGGTTTGTTTCGCTTTTTTTACGAGGTTTAACCACTTCCTGGCGGGGATTCCGGATCCAGACACGTATGCTTTATATGCATATAAAGTGGAGATAATCCAGCCTTGTTTTGAAACAGTATACCACGGTTTGGGGCATTTAGAGTGAGCGGATTACCACCAGGGACAAAATCGCTGCACCACTGCAGCGATGAGCCACACAGCACCGCTGCATGCTAATCTGACCCCTATTGAAAAGATGTCAGCAGCGCACTGAGCCAGGTTCATGAACAAAAGAAAGTTATATAACACCGCACAATCTGGGCTCTTTTTACAAGGCTGCAGGCCTGGCTGAAATAATCAGGCGTCAATAGATTTTTGTCTGTCAGGCCAAAGTGGACACCAGACAGTCCTTCACGTATTTGTAAGTGTCCAATAAATGAAGACAGGAATTTTTAAAGAATTTTGAAAACAGGAAAAAATTATAACTATCCCGGACCAGCATCATCAACATTGATAACTGCCCCGGGCAGCAAGTGGTTTAACAACGTTTTGTGGGGTGCCAAGGTAAAACCTCAAGCTACCCCTTGTTCAAGTTTGCATGTAGCAGTAGAACCATGTGGTACTGGCGTGAAACTTTCAGATCCCCGGCACGGCCCAAATGTCGCGAGCCAAGGTCCACCACTACTTCCAGGAGCTGCACGAGACGCTTCAGCACCAGGAGGAGGTGGCAATGAACGTGGTGGACGCCCACGTGAGGGAGAAGCTGTACCTGCTCCGACAGCAGCAGGAGAACCTGGCTGTCATGCTGACCACCATCAACAGCATGTGTGTGGAGTGTGAGCGCTGTGTGCAGCAGGTAGGCTTGTTTGTTGGTCAGTATGTCTGAATGTTCATTAGTATCTGTACATGTATGTCTCGCTGACCACCATCAACAGCATGTGTGTGGAGTGTGAGTGCTGCGTGCAGTAGGTAGGTTTGTCTGTTGGTCACCCTGTCTGAATGGTCATACAGCGGGTGTGGAGTGGAACGCTTTATGAAGCAGGAAGGCTTGTCTCTGTTGGTCTGCCTGTCTGGTTGGTCACTCATAGCATTTTTACATGTCACGCTGACCTCTGTCAACAGTGAGTGTATACACTATTTGCACTATGTGCAGCTGTGTGGTCCGTTTGTCCTGCATGTGTGGTCGGTCGGTCACTCAGAGTGTCTGTATGACTTGCTTATGACCACCATCAACAGCATGTGTGTGGAGTGTGTGTGTTACATGCATAGGGTCGGTCTGTTTGTTGGTCTTCATTTCTGGTTGTCACTAAATAGCACTACGGTATTCATCCTTCTTTGGTATGACAACTCATACATAAGGCAAATATGCAGCACATATAGGTAAATGCACATATGTCTATGAGGCAAGTCATATTAACCAAGCCTGCATTTTGCAAGGTTTTGTAATCCATTGAGAAAGGAGATGGACATGCATCATACTGTAAACTATGGTGTTATCCAAAGTTTGTAAAGCGTTGTACTCACTTCAAATTGGGAACTTTTTCCTGAATTTCACTGACATCCTCCATGACTTTTACAGACATACAGTAGATTGTTTCTCCAAATATGAAAACCATCAATTCAATTCAATTCAATTTATTATTCTTCGCATTGATCAAAATGTGAAAGTTGACTTCAGGTTACAATCATACTGCAACGTTAAAATTAAAAAGATGTCAATTCGTAAAACACTAAATCAAAACGCAGACACAATGTAAAAGCAGTGTTGTAGTCGAGAACTTTTCGAGTACCAACGTTCTCCGCAAAATACTGAACTGGGTAAGAGGGAATAAAGCCAGAGTGCGCAGGCATTTGATGGTAAATGTGCAAAGGTAAGATTACAAAATAAATGTCAGACTTCAGACACTCCCAGTTGTGTAAAATTTACGTTTTAAGGAGAAAAGTACTCGGAAAATACTCGGCCGAGTACTTTCTGAGTACTTTTGTCCTAAAAAGTTAATTTTAATCAAACAGTGATGGTCTGAAGTCATTGTGTTGCTTTGTAATCTTACCTTTATGCATGTACCTTAAAATGCCGATGTACTTCAGCTTTGTTCCCTCCTAACTAGTTAAGTATTTGGAAGAGAACTTGGTTCTCAAAAAGTACTCAACTACATCACTGTGTAAAAGTGAATTAAAACGACCAATCAAATCCAGGCAGACCTATTTCCAGAGCTTTGGGAGTGGCTCTCCTGGTCAGTATTTCATTCAATTACTTTTTATCTCCTTTTCTCCCCTTCCGCGCTGTCTTGGCCAGGACGATGCCAGGGTGATCGGTGCCCAGCAGCAGTTGACCGCCTTGCAGGAGACGCTGCAGAGCCAGCAGCAGCAGTTTGGCGACCTGCAAGAGCACCTGCAGCTGGACGCCAGCATCCCAGTCACGTTCACCAAGGTGAGCAGACCACCGTTGTTGAGGATGGTTGGTTGAAGTCTGTGTTGAGGTTTGGGATTACAAGCTTCACTCTTGAAAGTCCACTGCTTCTTGCTCCGTAATTGTCGGGACATTCACTTGATATTCCACCTACTTTGTGAGGACCAAAAACGTTCTGGGGACAAAGAAATGGCCCCACAACTCGGTCCAAATTTGCCTGACAAAGAAATTGTCCCCTTAATGTGGTGAATGTTTATCCTTTAAAGTTTTTGACGGTTTCTGTGGGATTGGGGACATAGGAGGTCCCAGCCACTGGTACCAGTATTTTACATGTGGATCAGTGCGCTGTGAAAGTTTGCAATGTAGGTGCCATTGGTGTACAGTGTAAGTGTCTGATGTCGGTGCACGTTTACTGATTAATTATACAAGCTGACACCTGCCTGACCTCTAGAGTTTGATCAATCAGCAGACATGTATTGTGGGCTTTCAGCCATTGTAAGCTCCATGAGGTAAAGGAAAACATGGCACACAGGAATCAATTTCCAGCTCCATGCATGTGCGATGTGCGTGCACACCGGTTAAGCCATAATGCGTGTAGTTGGACTGAAGTCGGTTCACATTTCTGTGCATATATTTGCCATCCTGAACAGCAGAAGAACGCATTTCGCAAGTCTGAAATGCTCTTAAGACACACTCTTATGTGGAGGGTGCCCCAACCTGATCAACAGATCTAACACAGTATGCCAGCCTTGTTGGTAGGATGGCATAAAATTTGCATATTTACATACATCAGATCTGGTTTGGAGCCACAGTTCAGCAATGGATGATGCTCAGATCGATTGGTTTCCAGCGCACTGGAGAATTTTTAGGGTAATCAGCTTGGGCCAGTTCTCGGACCTGGCAAATGGAAAAGTGACCCAGTGGAACAAAAGTGAGTCACAAGTCGCCAGGGCTCTTTGGAAGGAAAAAAAAGTCCTTCAAAAAGGATCTTGTGCTGGGTAAATCAATGGGAGTCTTCAATATTCTTCACTCATTCTCAGGATGCCTGGTGAAACGTCACAACCAAGAGCTGAAATTTGCTTTTCCTTGTGCAAAATAAAGCAGGATTACTGCAAATGTGGCCTTAAGACTCATTTTGTGGGATCTGTTCACAAATTTGCTACGTCCAGAAATTTTGCTTAGCAAAAGCTGGTTACCATCCTAAATGTTATGAATTGCATATTAATGGCGACTAATTCTTGGCTTTTAGGGGGGGGAGGCTTAACACATGAATTTGCTGAGAATTAATTGGTGCTTAGTAGCTCTGTGAAATCATGCCTTGTTGAAAGTTACTAGCAACCAGCACTCATGAGAAGCAATGGTGGATGGCGTCTATCTATCCGCTCCAAGCGGTAACAAGAGAAGGTGTACATGTATTTCTACCTAGCAGTGCTTGTCCTTATGTTGAAAGTCACCGCATGCACACAGGTTTATGCTTGTTTGTGCAGGATTTGCTGCGCATGTGTGACCAATTTCAGTTTTGAGTGTACGGTCCTCACATGTATGAGCCCAGAGGAAAAAGTCTCACCAGCCTGTCTCATCTTAACTTGTGAGGGCGCACTTCAACTCGGGGTACATTGTAGATTGCATGATTGAATTGTTCTGCGCTACATTGCAAATCTTGTTAGTTTTTTTGATATACACCTGTAAGGTGTTACTAACATGGAAGACTCTTTGGGGATTTAATTTCATTGTTCTCGAGACTAAACAGTAAAAATTTCGATATATGTAAATAGGCTGTTTGTTCAGCGCATGATCCTTAAATGATTTAGATATCAAAGATGATTCAGGTCGGGGGGACAGCACCCTCTATAATCCACCAGTATGATTTCTAAAGATTGTCTAGGGTCGGTGGTCTTGGCCCCTGTGACAAGAGCGACCCTATTGACCTCGGCGTAGCAGTTTACATGCATTTGTGATCGAACAGTTTACTACAACAATTCAGTAAAAACTCAAAATCCTCAACATCCAGGTTCACCAGTATATTTGTCAGTTTAGCAATGTGTGACCGAATCGTAGTATCGCCAGCCGGTCATTTTTTTCTTTGGTTTCCACACAGGATAACAGGGTACACATTGGTCCCAAGATGGAGATGAGAGTGGTGGTCCTGGGGTTGGACAATGCCGGCAAAACAACCATTCTCTTCAAACTGAAGCAGAACGAATTCATCCAAACCATACCCACCATCGGTAAGTCATGCACAGTGAAAAAAAAAAAGAACTTTGGTTGCAGGTAGTTGTAACCGAACATCAGGAGACCGCATGCTTGGCCAGATCAAATCATCCCCCGTGCTCATTGGTTTGATATGTATGTGAAACCGTGTTACTGCCGTGTATTACGGGAATTCAGCTGGAGGCGTAGCCCTAAACTGCCACTGGGTTCCCTGCGGGCAGCCTGCCAGGGCACAACAGAATCCAACACAGCTGAAATGAGATCCTTGCTTTGTTGCAACAAAATGCAACAGACTGCAACAGTTTAGATATTGGGGCACTCTGCTCTGCACTGAATAAACACTAGCCTATACAATATCAGGCTATGCAGTGGGCAACACTTTTACAACAACTTTTGGCCATTGTTGTGGTCTGTTGTATTTAATACTGCTTTTAATAATGAAGCATAGTCCGCGTCTGAAACGGGCTTCCAGAGCTACGGCTAGGTCTAATGTCTACGCATCTCCGCACATTTCCAATGGAGGGAAGACCTAGACCCAGCTCTAGAGAACAGATTCGGATGCAGCCATAGACTGGATGATGCAATCACACCAATCAGCTTTGGCTCCTCCGATGAATTTGAGGTCACACGTACACTCCCACTATGAGGATTCTAATGTGGTGTTATTTCATTCAAATGAACCCACTGTCATTACTTTGTCAAGAAATTGATGAATTGTCATTTCCGACTCTCCAGTGATATTTCTCTCCTCCACCTCCAATTGTAGAGGGTATGGGGAGCTGAAAATACAGAATCCAAACCACAACTCTGAATGTGAATTCATTGTAGAAATGGCTTGGAATAGTTGTCAGGTATTTCAATTTAATACATGTATGTTTGCATGAGATTTGGCCATTAACAGCTGCAGCTAGGTCAAGGGGTCAAGCGTATTGTAAAGTGCACTGTTTCGAGCATTCTTCGGACAACAGAGGGGGCTGTTGATGTGATGACAGTCTGGGAAAACACTGCTTAATTCAGGGGTTTTTTATGTTTAAACTTTGCTCAGTGGAAATGCTGTTTTCTTAATGTGATTCATTCAAAACAACGATGAGTCACCAAAGCAAGGAAATTATAACAACAAATGTAATTTTTGTGGACAAATCAGTGCAACATTGAGGTTTTCTCTGTGGGATGACATCACCATTTTGCTCATTAAATGGAAATGTACAATGTATGAAAACCAAAAAGGTATGAAATACCTTTTAACATACATGTAGCAAAACAAAAATTTTTAGAAATGAGTGAAAACACTAAGGTATGTTTTCTTGCGCTGTAGTTAAAAAATTGTGCAGAGGTTATGTGTTTTAACACGTCCTCCGAAGGCAAGAATTTACCGGGATAGGCTAGACTAAACCTTTTGCATGACCTCTATTGCACTGACCATTTAAGACTCAACCCAAAGAAAGGAGGCATATATACATGTAGGACATTTAGACTACTACGCCTCCAAGATTCCAGTTGCATAGTTTAGCCACAGTTTGGTAGCTGCATGCACACCTCTTCAGTCAACACCTTTCCTTTGCTATTCCTCTTCTTGCCAATTGCTCGCTTATGACCTAAATGTGTACATGCATGTCTTTGCCATTTGGTGACTGTCACAACTGACATCTAGAACACAGACTCCCCGAATAGAGAACTTTGTGGAAATGGTACCCAAACTTGCAGTCACCCAAGAAAGACAGAGACTTCTGTGTGCACTGCTGCACACATGTTTTAGGTCTTCAGCGTGTCTCCACCTGATCCCAGCATCCTGGCCCTGTCTACTGACAGTAACATAATCACCACACCGAGGGGCTTTGTATACATACATGTACATGTACTCTGATGATCAGAGGGCGCTGTTGAGTGCAGATTGTTGCATGCCATGTAGAATTGACTATGCCTTTATACAAGGGATACTAATTTAACAGAGGCTTAAAGCACAGTTGGGCACCAGACTATTCTTCAATAGCGTATGTACCAGTATGCGAATGATCCGATAACCAGCGTGAAAGAGCACTTAGATGGGGAGGCACTGCTCTTTACTCTGGGATCACACGCGCTGGTAGAGCTTTGAATGTGCCAACTGCTACATATCCATAGTCATGTCCAAATTAACTGGCTATGGCTTGGCATTAATATGTGCCTCTGCATTTACATGTTCTACTATGAGCAGTGGCCATAGCTGCTAGCCAGTGGCTTGCTTAACTGCATATGGGCTGTTTCCACCTATGGCCACAACTGCTGGTCGCAGCCTCAGTCACAGAATTTTTTACAAGGAAGTGCAGATGTTGCCAAGCAATGTGGGTAGCTCAACTGCCATGATCAGTGTGCACTTGATGTGCATGTGCTGCAAAGGAGTTGATCTTGGGTCTAGGTCTGTGTAGATCATGTACTAGTACAGTCATTAATTGAATATTTGAATATTACTGCAAACTTGAATATTGGAGGGTGAAATTTTATGAAATGAAAAAGGAACGAAATTCAAATACATGTTTTTTGTTTTCGAAATAGCATTCTAAAAGAATATTTCAAGAAAATATAAGTAAAATTCTAGACAGCTAAATGCATACTTGACAAGGGGTCATCAAACAAACAAAAACACCTCCAATGAGGAGACAAATAAATTTCATCATATGCCACAAGGAAACGATCTCCCTTGTGTGTGGAGATGTGTAAGAGAAAATGGCATACACATCACACATTGGGAAACTGGCAAGTCACACAGGGCTAACTTCACTTTCGTCTATTCAAAATGTTTGAATTTTTTGAATATCTTCACTTACAATAGAAATTCTTGTCATCAATTTTTCAAATTGGAAACTTTGCAAGTTTTGTGTCGATGCCTGTTCTTGTTCTCTCTTTGTTTTTTTCGGGAGAGTGGAGATCACATTGGTTGCCTGAACAAGACTTTTTTGTCTTTGTTCTTTTGTGAACAGGGTTGATATTTCCACTAAGTTTCAAGCAGTGTGTTGTCACGTTTTCCTCTGCCCCATTGAAACCCTCTTGGTTGCTTTTACTAGTGACAACTTCCAGCTAAACATTTTCATCTCATCAAATAGTTTCTGCATGGTAAACGGCAGTACCGCCGCTGCTGTTTCCTAATGATAATAATAACAGCAGAACATCCAGCCACGAAAAAGGGGAAAAAAAAGAGAGAAAACCAAGACAGAGACCTAGAAGACAAGGGGAACAGAAGCAGTGTTGATGCGCGGCCGTTCACTGTGAGTGCTGGTGACTCTAATGCACAGGCTCATTGTAATTAAATTGCAATTACTAGCCTTTTCAATTTGCTGAAGTGCGAAATACTCTTGTGCACAACAAAACACCGTGCAAATTTTAGCCGGTGACCGCACTTTCCTTTTTATTTTATTTTTTTTTTTTTCTTTTCTAGTTGTGTACTTTCTCCCCCGGGACGCTAAGGGGCAAAACACGCTGGGCCCCGAAAGAGCTTTGCCTCGCCTTGTACGCCGCGACATCAGATGTCATAGCCGGCGCATGTTATCACAACACTTAGCCTTGCCTTATACTCCAAAGTGCATCCAGTGACCAGTGCCCCCGAAAGAGAGAATGTTAGACTAGGGAGAGAGAGAGAGAGGGGGGGGTAGAATAATCGCATATGATTAAGTTGTTATTATATGCACTTGATCATCAATTTGTGTAAAATGATGGGGCCCCTAATGAAATTAAGTTACAATTTCACGAAGGGAAGTGTTCAATTTGATTAGCGACGTCGGATCACTTGCTGGCACAACAAGCGGTAGATTCCTTTGAGTGTGTGTGGGGGGGGGGTTAAATAATTGAATGACCGGTACCGCGATTGCAGCGTGCAAGCAAGCGAAAGAGAGAGAGAGAGAGTGCACGTTGATTGGGGGGTGATGTCATTAATGGTGTCTATCATGGTCCGAAGGGTGTGAACACAATAATGAACACACTGCTGTCCACGGAATATGCACTGCAAAAAAAAAGTGGTCATTTGGAAACAGTGTAAGGCCGTGAAAGTTCTGGTATCCTTCAAGGGTTTCTCTCCACATAATAAGTACTTTTCATCCTGCCCAGTGTCAATTCCTCCGCCCCCCCTTCCCCACCATCTCCACCATCTCAGTAATGGTTATTGGAATCATTAGCTGGCCGTAGTGGCCACCAGTGAAAACAGTTGTTAATAAGCCCAGACAAAGATCAACTGCTGTGACGATGTGCGTGGTGTCCATTGTCAACAGTGCGTAAAAGGATTATTTGTTCTGTGCGGCTAGGAATTTGTTTGGAGGAAGGGGATTGCAAATTGTACGTTCACCTTGTGTTGGAGGTCCACTTGTACTTTCTTGTCAACTTCGTTGATATTTGTCTTAGAGTGGGTACATACACTTCTTCGATTGTAATACCTGCATCGGTGCACTCACCCATGTAAAAAAAAGCACTGCATTCAAATAGAATGCTGTTATAATCTCTGCTCCATTAGCATCAGGCAAAAGTTATCGCAGCTGCGTGTGAATTTCCGTACACTATCTTGTGTATTAATTTCAGACTGCTTTAGAATCATCTGCGAGTTGTGAGTGTCCTTGATCCACCAGAATCCAGGATAGGATAGTGTTTTCCTGACATGTTTGTAAATGTTGGATTTTAATTCTTCATTGTGGAAGCCTGGTTGTCCTAAAAATTCTTGAAAAAAACAAACCAACTTACATCCTTTAACAATATTTATTAGAGGTGCATGTAATATGTTTTTAAAGAAAATAGTACTTGCAGTCAGTAGATCTCGGCAAAATGTTGTTTTCATTTCTGTGGATAAGGCGATGATTAATTAGACATGTTTTTTTTTTCAGAATTGTAAACAAGATGCTTGAAATTCACAATTTGAAGGCAAAAGGAATGCGTGACTTACCATAAGCTCATTTTTTGTCCCCGCTTCTGTCTCATGAGAAAGCTTTTTGCCGAGAAAATTTCAAATGAGAGCAATTACTTGTACATGAAGATACGAGGATGTGTTGTTTGTGGGGGGGGCATCATTTTGTTTACTTGAACTCTGAATTTGATTTTGAAGACTTGTGTCGCAGTTGGAGTGAATATTTCTGATATTAGGTCGAGAGTTTTGAAGGAAGAGACATGCATCTGAAAGAAATGGGAGTGAGTATGTACAAAATATCGTGTATACCTCAGGAAGTTCCCCCCCCCCTCCGGCCTCGTCATTGGACCCTCTGCAGTCTCCTGACGATGGAGAGAGCGAGCATACTGTCCGAAACATTGAGTACTGGTACCACCAGTTCTTTCAGAACCGCACATACTCAAAAAAAGATATATATCCTTGGCGCTACCGCAAATCTATCTAGTTTACTTGCTAACCTCCACCATGAAAAGCTTCAAATCTCAAGTTCCCCCCCCCCACACAAAAAAACAGAATGGAGATATGCAAGCTTTTTGTTGAGTTCACGGTGGTCGCTCTCTGTGGCCATTTTCAGGGTTCCAATTCATTGTGTCAAACTGCAGCGAGTGCATTTGATAATCCAATGCATTTGGGTTAACTTGGCCTCTTGTACTATGCATCGACTTCCTGGGGACACCTCATGCCAACCATTGCCATCTGCTTGGTTTGGGATATGCAGCTCTCCCATGGCCTGTGCTGCGAAGCTCCGAGCCATGGCAGTAGCAGGACTGTCGGGCTGGCCGTAAATTTGGTTCGCTATGACAGGGTGCCATGCAGACAGATTCAGGGCTATTTGCCCTTGCTGTCTCCATTCATGTACCACATTATGCCTGTTTGCGCCTCTGGGGTTTGTGGTTCATGGTAACAGAATTCAAAGCGTTGTCAGGACCACTGCCAAATTTTATCAAGCATTATTTACTGAGTGGGTTATTTGTGGCCTTTGTGGGTCCCACATCCTGCAAGAAACAATGTATAGTATAAAACTGAAGCACTTCTGGTAAATGGTGTCCTGTTACATTGTGCAAAACCTGTGTCTCTCACCCTCACCCCTACCCTACTTATCAGCTCTTCAATCCCCCCCCCACACCCACCCAGCCCCACCATGGCATCCACGTCTCCAGTGCACTCAAAGCCTCGGGTATTGTTAGTCAACACAGACAGTAATGTATCACAAAAGAGAGAGAGAAAAAAGGAGAGATAAAAATAAAAAACAGAGTCTCACTTTGGCGTTCTTGCGGCGTGTGTTTGTGGAGCATGCCAAATGAAATTACTGATGAGGGAAAAGAAGGAAGTCGAAAAATTATATCACAAAACTGATAAATTTTTGCATTTTTCCCTCTGCCGCCGTGAGATCAAAGAAGAAAGTGAATGAAAAAAAGGAACAAGGAGAAAGGCAGAAAGACCCTTTTTCTGCATCTGTGTTCGTGACTGATCAAGTTTGCCACCAAGAATATTGTGTCGAATTGAATTGCAGAGGAAGCTTACTCACCGGAAGGATTCCACCGATGTTTTCAAGGGGAATTTGGAGCGTCCCGTAACAAAGTTAACAGCGAAGCCTGCAGATATTGATTCAGAAATTTGTTATCTGCATACATGTTTATTCAGAATAGACTTCATTAGTGCTTATCAAGTTTTCTTTCCGTCATTTCATTGTTTGGTTGCTAGGCAGAAACATTATGATAGCTCAAAGAAAACTTCCACCAATTCAGGGAAATTACTAACAGTGAATGAAATACATGCTGTGTCTTTTTTTTTTTTTCAGTTACTATTATTATCCTTATTTTGGGGGGGTTTTGTCTTGTTTTTGGAATGCGATTGCTAATGTCAATGCTGTATACTGATTGACAGGTTTCAATGTGGAAACAGTCGAGTATAAGAATGTGAAGTTCACCATTTGGGACGTCGGGGGAGACACCAAACTGAGACCGTTGTGGAAACACTACTACTTCAACACGCAGGGTGAGGTTTAAGGCTTGCGACTGATACACATCCGGAACTGAATTGCAAGGCAGAATGAAATAAACATGGTTTCGATTTTAGCCTGGCAGACGTAGACTAAACCAGCCACCATCAGAGGCTGTCAGTTGAGTTTTTATATATTCATGCACCTGCTGTGCACTCATGTTAGAGAACTTCATTGACTATTAGGGAATTGTGGCCTCTCAATGATATATGCACACCTCAAACTTCAGATTACTTGCAATATACACCTGAGTGTGGTTGCCACAGCATTGGGATGTTGGCATCTGTCCTTGGATTAGTTTGTTCCCGCTGCTGAAGCAAGGAGTTCAAGGGAGTTTGTAATGACTGGAGTGGGGTCAGAACCTGGGACTTGCGGAATGCTGCACCTCAGTCGGCTGGTTCACATCCCTAAGGCTGCGTGTGCGTTTACGATGTGTGGTCACAATTACTCAGTCATGCATTTCAGCCTATTTTTAATCCCCTTTCTTGATGAATAAATAAAAATACTTGACTCAAAACTAATTTGAATTGAACTAAGTGGAATTGAATTTGAAACTAACTGGTGGAATGGTGGACGCCTGCGAGAATCATTTATACCCTTGAAACTGGTAACACTTTTCAGACAGGCTGTTGGAAAAGTCAAACTATTCGAGCATGTTACAAAGCCTCATCTGCATAGATTTTTGTCACACAGAGAAAATTAGATTTGTTAAAACCTTCCAACCCCAAGATCCTGCAACATGTACTCAAATGTCTTGGAAGATCCTTTACCGTTAGAGGCCAGCCCTAGTATCCTGTACATGACTTTGATGGTCTTTAAAATAGAAAGAATGGTGGTGTTGATTTGCTGGGCAGGGGTGGCTCTGGGAGATTTTAGGAAGGTCTCTGCCCAGGGAGGTTTTGTTAGCACAGGTCAGTTCCAAGTGAAACCAACTTTGTCCCTTTCTGTCCCCCCCCCCCATTCGCAGCTCTCCTGTTTGTGATTGACTCGACGGACACAGAGAGACTGGACGAGGTCTCTGACGAGTTGGCGGCGCTCATGTCGGAGAAACAGCTCAAGGATTCGCTGCTCCTCATCTTTGCCAACAAACAAGTGAGGCAGATTGATGACGTACCAAGTTTTAAGTCCACAAGATTGATTAAAAATTGTGACACCTGCTAGATCACATGAGAGAAAGGGAGACTCTGTTATCACAGTTCTCAAGTTTTTGTCCACAGGTTGAAGTCTTAACTTGTTCATTAGCCAAAAAGTCTATTTACAGCCCTAAATTTCATCACACCACCTAAATCCAAACTTGAAAAATACCATGTCTAACGAGTTTGTAATATGAATCCGGTGTTGGAACAGCAAATGGTGCCAGTGTACCTATGCAGAAGAGCTGCTGCATGAAGGACACCACTATATGCCGGTGCTAGGCATCAGACACATGAACCACTCACGAGCAGTTTTCATTTGAATGTGCACAAATCCCAGAGGAGCCTAGCATAACACGTGCGAGTGTGAGCATGTGATGGCACTGATGTACAAGTACCCTCCACCTCCCTTTATTGTCACCATTGAGAAGGTCACTTTTACTCAGAGTCTGTAGGATAGAGCCTGAAATTGGCCACCTCCCCCTCCCCTGGCCAAGATGTGATTGGACGATTGTCTGTCCTCATTGCAGGATAACCCGCAAGCTCTCAGCGTCGACACCATCTCTGAGCGTCTTGGCCTGCACAAGCTCTGCTGTGGCCGCAACTGGTGCATTCAGCCTAGCGACGCCCAGACCGGAGCCGGGCTGCTGGAGGGGCTGGACTGGTTGTCCCGGCAACTGATCGCTGCCGGGGTCGTTGACCTTGCCTGAAATAGCTTTTCATTATTTGTTTTGATTGATTTGTAAAATTCCACGTTTCTATGCATTACGTACATTGAGCTTTCAGTGACTTGGCTTTTATGGATAAAGTGTAACTTTGAAATGTGAGGTCTCTTAGAATTGCCGTTCATAATAGTTGTATCAAAAGTTGAACACTAAGCTAAAGATCTTGAATGCAGCTGTTCCACATCTTGTACTGAGTAACTATCTCAGTACAGTGGCTGCATAAAATAGTTATAATATTGCTTACCAACTTTGGTGGGGGGGCCACTGCACATGACCAGTGATGGTGTTGCCAAGGTCACCAGATTCGTCCACTCAAAAGTTGGGTTTGGGATGTTTGTATATACATGACATGGAAGTCTCTACTAGTCTCATACTGCAGGCAGAAGCAAATAAGCCCCATGTAAGAGGTTGTTCAGAAAGGCCTTGGATTGTTGGTGAATGACCTTGTGCAGTGATGCCAACACCAGCCTGTTGAACCATCAGAACGCACGTAAGGGAACCCTTTGTACTCACACCCTCTCTGAGAGTGTGGATGAGAACATCACAGGTGCAAAGCCTCCGTGAGGCAGCTACCTGCTGTGATAACCTCTGGCCCCTAAGGTCACCCACAGGGAAGGAAGGGTTGCCATGGTGCATTGCAACCCATGAAATCATAGATGTCCCCTTCAGATCAGGTCTCCAGTCTAATTTGACTGTGTCCCAATGTAGCAGCTGTGGCTGGAAATAACACACAACGCATATGCTGTTCACGGCCACAGCCAGTTTATCTGAGCACAGCCATAGTCAAGAAGCTTCCATCAGTGGATGTCCTTTCAACACAAGAGGGCTGTAGCATATGCAAAGCAAATGAAGTTATTTCCCCTATCCACACCGAGCGTGTTTTTACATGACAGAGATGGCCTATGATGGAAACTCAGTGCGCTTACATGGCCCTTTGTTGGGGCGTGTTTGGTGTGAGATGCACTGAGGAGGCACAACCAATTTCTGTTGGAATAGACGTCTTAACTTTCAAGTTGAGGCGTCTTAACTTTCAAGTTGAGGCGTCTGCGATTGGCATGTGCGGTCTTTGCACCAGGCGTGTGCAGGAGATTGTTCAGAAAACTTCCCATCAGGCCGTATCTTCTTTGCCGTTGAGGGTGCACTTCAACCCGAGGCTGATTGCTCGGAGACAACTTAAGCTGACACAGCCAACTTTATTGGTGGGGGGGCTTTCCTCAGCCCCTCCCATTTACAATCTTAACTGCCATCTTCTGCATATAATCTTTATAGTCTCTTTTTAATATTTTTATTGAACATAATTATGGTGTCACTGAAAGTGCACCTGTTCGTGCTATTTATTCCTTAACAGATTTGTTTTCTGTATATGGTGATCATCTCTATTAATTTATCAAATTTATTGCAGAATCCTGAACAATTGGATAACTGATCTTAAAATTTCAGTTTTAAGTGGGTGGTAAAGGCTTGATCAATGTTAACATTTCCTGTAAGCTGTGTCGATATATGTAAGAAAAGCAGCACAAGAATAAGATATTATACCACAACAGTATGGCTTCTTGCCTTGTTTGATGATATTGAAATATGAAATCAAAGGAGATCTTGTGGTGCGATTAACATGTGCATCCTGGTTTGAGATTAATAATTATAATAACTATTACCAACATTTAAAGCCCTCCTGTCTGTCAATAAATCACAGAGCTTACAAATTGTCCTTAATCGCTGACCATGTTGACTCCAACAGCGGAAATTGGTCATGAAACATAACAGTGATAAGGTTGTACATTACATTTCCTCTAGCATATATCACTTGTACTTGAAGCTGACAAAGATTCAAGTTTATCAGTTCGATGTCATAGAATAGAAACGTAACTGTCACGCCACAAAGACATCTCTAGAACTTACGGATACGGAAGATTTATCTGAATTATATTTGAACATTTACAGCTGTTGTGCATTATTGTTTAATGGAGGAAATTCTTTTTTTTTTTCTCATTTATTTCATTCATTAGTTACAACTTAATCAGTTGTACACTTGTAGCAGACGTACCTTACCTTAGTTTCAGGGATCTTGTTGAAACAGGTTGAAGTGGATACGAAGCTGTTTTGTAGGCATGCATAGGTACTTTTTTTGTCGGACTGAAAAATATTTTGAAGCATTCGGCAACAAGTTGTGTTAATACATTATTTGTTACTTGTACAGTCATTTGCAAAAGTTTAGGACCACCCGTAGAAAATGCATTGACCTGAAGGAAAAAAACAAACTTAAACCAATCAATCATGGCAACTGATGTTTATTTTCAATGTGTAACGTTGGTACCTTGGTTGAACATTTTTGACTACTTTCCATGATTTGAGATGTTAACCGTCTAATATTCCGTGTGCCATCCCTTATTTCGGATTACTTAGACTGGCTTTTTTTACCCATGCTGCCTTGCCGACAAAATGTCATACAAAACCTGCCTTTGCAAAAAATTTCATTCAAATGGGTATATAGCACTACACTGATGTTATGCACCACTGTAAAATCATGTTAAGTAATCATTCAATGAGACAGTGTAATGCAGGCCCAGTGACAGAAATACCAATAAAATTCAAGGTGGTCTTAAACTTTTGCAAATGACTGTAGTAACATTCAAGAGCGCTTTACAGGTCGAGGAACAGGAAGTTTAAAGTGTGTGTGTAATAGTATATGTGATTTTTGATACTTATGTAATGCAGAGTTACAATCATTGGGTATGTATTACATTGTATTTGAACTTTATGAAGAGTATTCATATTAGTGTAAGACAGTTTGAATTGTATGTTATCTGTCACATGGCTGCAACATTGTGTCACTGGACCTTTTTTGTATATTAGATTAGAATCATTGATCAACATGAATAGTTGGAAGTAAAAAAGAAGTTGAAATTGACTTGTTCTCCTTTTGGGGGATAGTTACTGTTAAGTGTTGGGGTGGGGCTTCTGAGAGTAAATCAAGTATAATCGATTCACTTTCAAGTAAAAACAAAGTCTGGAAAGATATGAGAATGAAGACAGTGTTTCTTGAGACAGTCTTTGAACTGTTGTGACCAGCTCCAGACAACAGGCTTACCGATCTTGTGAGGACAGCGTCAAGGAGAATGTGATTTTACGCAATTTTTAAATTGATTACACAGAAGAGGGTGATGAAAAGTTGGAACAGATGTTTAGCTTCACTTTTAGTAGAGGCCTGTTTGTAATAACTACTGCTTGCATTTGTTAAATTTCAACTCAGCAATACATGTAGTCTCTTTATCGGCGAGGCCGGCCTACCTAAGTGCTGGACAACAAATGATTTTCTATGTTAAAGTTCCATTATGCAAGGGCGCTAGGCGGGGTATGTGCAAGCCCATCCCAGTTTTGCATCCAAAAGTCCCCCCCCCCCGTGGTCGTCCGTCCTGACCGCCCATACTGGCACTGGGAAGGGCAAAATGCCTTTCTCAAACTTTTTTGAAGGAAATACTCCACCACGAAGCTGTATGGAGAACGAAGTTTTGCGGGTACACCACATAAAATCGGTCTCTTCAATAAGAGTGGTGGTTCTGAAAAGAACCGGTGTTAGCTCACCATATCCCTAATAAGCCGTAGTAGGGATATGGTACAAAATTTTCCTTGTCCAACTCGTACACGAGATGTAAGTCGTACACACGATTACCTCAGCTGAAAGTTCTAGAACTAGCGCCACCAATGTTTAGGCCCAATAGGCCGCGTCGGTATGAGCGAGCCCCAGTTCATGATTTTGACCCTGTCTCACAGGTCAGTGTCACAGATATATCACTGCGTCATAGCTGCTAATTGGTCAGGGAACTCGGGAACTCTTCAGAGACAAAAAATAAGAAAGATGAGAAACTTCTGGATAATGTACAGACGCTGAGATCACCCCGGACCCTAACCTGCTCGGCACTCGAGCACTGCGGCGGCTTCCTTGAGAACGCATCAAACCGTCCGCGGCTCGTAAATCTCGGCCCCCCTTTGAAAGTTAAACTGTTGCCGACGAAAGCAAGAAACGCCAACAGAAGGAAGAGATTGGAATCAAAAAGACATCCTCAAAGACATATTAAAGTGAGCGGGGGGGGTGTCCCTGCCAAGGTGTGAAACTGTCTCCGGATCCTGAGGGGTGGGCCCCACGGGGGATCTAATCGGTACGACGGCCAGGTGCTTTGTTGGGTGAGCCCCATAAAATCGCCGAGATCGAGACCGACTAATTGCATCGCGCTCGGCCGAGGGGTGAACCTCCCCTCAAAGGAATTGATATGTCGGCATTGAACTTGAGAAATTTATGCACGTGCAAAGTGATGAGTCTTAATGTGGTGCGTGGGATCATCACTCTAAAACGGTAGAGTGAATGAGATCCATTATAGAGGAGTTAATGTTCACCTGCCTTCGTGCCTCGCCCTGTGGGAGCAAAGTATATCAGCAGACGGTTCGACCCATGGTTTGACAAAGAAGGAAACAATTGGGCACCCTGCGACCGCATGAACCAACGAACAAGACTGAAGAATAAATCTTACCACAGGGTGTTACTTGCATAAACATCGTTTGTTTAGGTGTTGACGTGTATGTAACCCCTTCCTCTTTGAGTTAAGCTACGCCCACTTTTCATTCCCCAACCTACCCAAACACAAAAAGGACAGCCCAGTACAAGATGCGCAGTAGCAAGACAAGGCAGTCTATAGTTCAGAAAGAACGGCATGAAAAGAGGGGAGGTGACTTCACTACGTGCTTTCATCTCACACAGCGTGTAGGTTCCTTGGGTATACTACTCCAAGACAAAAACAAAGGGAGAGTGAAGCGTGGAAAAGTTAAAGATCATCAAAACGGGAAAGACCGTTTTGCCAAGAGGTTAAGAACAAGTCCAAGTCCTTAACTGTTCTGATTTACTGCTTCGTCGACATGTTTGTCCTGGGAAGGTTTTCCGGTAAGATCATCAACCGCTGGCCGGCCAGCCTGCTGGGCAAAAAGGGGGTGTTATCGTCAAACACGCAATGGCAACAGTGCGACATGTTTGCCACTTTCTCGCCCTCTTTACTACCCGCCAGGGACGGTGGTCTGCCTGGGAGCTGTACCCGTCAACCGATCTGACAGGATCAGGTGCTGTGGCCAGTTAACCTTCCGGACTCGACGACCCCAGGAAAAGCCCCCCTTCCCCCAATGCCTTTTGGCGTGCTATGTACCTCAGATGCCGCGGCCGTATATTATCCGTACATGCCATCGTTTTTACGAGGGAAGCGGTTGGCTAGAGGTTGGAACCTCAGCCTGGTTAGGCTCTAAATCACTTGGTATCCGGTCTTTAGCATGCAGTGTGTTCAGTGATAGCTTTGAGCAACGACAAGTTCAGAATTCATCTGGACTATGTAAAGGCAGTCACGTGCATTCTGTGAGCACTGAAGTTTCTCAATTCGAGGGAAATTTTTTCACGCCAATAGATCGAGATTTTACTCGAGTTTCCACTGGAAGAGCTTTATTTTCAAACTATTTCAAGAGTGATTTTTACCCTAAGACTTCTAGTCCCCAGAGAGTAAGCCGCTGCGATACTGGTGTAGATTACCTTCGCAACAGTCCACAAAAGAGTTTTGAGATAAAAATACAATGAGGCTGTTGATAGGAGATGATTACTTACGGTGGTGGGTGAGAAACTTACGCTTTTCTAGCACTAGGTGGCGCTATGTCTTTTTCCGATAATTACCACGCGTACTGCGTTAACTTTTGGATGTCAATTCGAGTTTCAGTTTACCCACGATTTCTACAAGTGCATTCAACAATTAGCTGTCTGAAACAGTCGAAATGTTAATAAAGATAAAAAAAAACGATTGAGCGGGCGAACAGAAACACCAAACCTCTTCCAAACATTCCGGCCGCCCCTCCAAACCCCGCTCCCGGGATCGGCTAAGGAATAGGAACTATCCGAAAGTGTGGGCAGTCCCTCTTAAAAATCTTCACGACGCATGCGCCGCAGCACCTGCTCATAACAGAAAACGGAATGTTCTGAGCGAAAGGATTTTAACGCTTCGTTTTCTTTTCAGTTTGTGGCGAATAAACGTGTCAGCTTCGTCCATGGTGGGAGTCTGCTTATCTCTGGCCGGTCAGAAGGTCACTGTTTTCCCCTTGCATCAGAAAATTGTTGTTGAAAACAAAACAAAGCATAACAAAACCGACGGATGTGAAACTATGCCCCTACGGGGGCCCTCGATCCTCAAGTTTAAACACAAATCCACGGGGGCGGATGAAATACTATACCCTCATAAACTCACAGCGTATTACTTCATGGTGTTAAACGATTTACGCCCATCCCCCCTTCGGACAGACGGGGCAACTGGTTCTTTTCACCCGCGTCTGCCTCGGCCACCGCTCGCTGACAGCTCCTGGGGCTTGGGCAAACGGGAATGTTGAGAGCGCAGTACACAAAATAAAGCCAGTGTTAAGCCTCAAAGATCATCATGTTGTGATTCTATGGAAACACATACACGTACACGGATTTGATTGTGAATTCCTTCCCGTTGAGGTTGCGGTGAAGCCATACAAGACCATTTTCAAAATTCGGCTCCTTAAAAATATTAGATAAACATAATTATATGCATGACAACGATTATTATGCTGCTAAAAATGCCACCGAACGTGTGTGTGGTTTGAAAAATGCACTCCACAATCAATTTTGAACCAAGTTTACATTGGTGAAAGACTATAAGTAAGTGAGACTTAACGGTCTTCCAGACTTTCAAAATTTTCATAAGCTTCCCTTTTCAACTCAAGCCTAGTTGATTTTAGCGTACAGGGGAAAATGCTACGTAGAAGCTAAAGCCACTCTGATACAGTATCCCGCGTGTGGTTTACGCGCTCACGGCCAAATACGCTCCTCGCCAGCCGACACCCTGAGAACTGCCCAAGAACTGTCGGTCCTGTCCCGCCAGAAGAATCCTTGAAATCGCAGCCGAAAATCGGAGTTTCGTCGGAGTTTATTTGGGCACACTTGGGCGGGTGTCGATGTCCCGAGTTCTGTCAACAATCGTAGAGAAAACTGAACCGTTAGTGTATACACGCATATCCAGGCCTACCTTCGGCTATTTGAGTAACTGCCGATACTTGCTTGGGCAAACAAGCTAAACAGGAAAGGACTAAAAATGAAGAACGGAATTGGCTTTTCTCTAAGATGGATGTTTTTTTTTTCATTGACGTGTCTTGATTTCTTCTCTTTTTTCCCCTCCAGCTGTACTTACACCGAGAAAAGACAGCGCAACGGAGTTCCATGTGCATGGATAAAATTACTCAACGTTTCTATTCAAAGTGTATTGCTTGCTATTAAGAGAGCACCACTTGTGTGTTTTTCAATTTGAGAACTGGCGGAGGCTTATCGGTTTTGAAAAAAGAAAACAAAATTACGACGGATACATTCACTGTCTTCTTGAAGTTAACATTGTTTCACGGTCCACTTTACCGTTGTTGGCATTTTCACCATCATAGTGACACTTAGTACCGTCCTCGCGTTCGTTTTGCTCACTTTCACAACCATACCACCTGCAAAACTATTGACACAATAACCACCAAGCACTTGCATTACTGTCGTCATCACCCACGTTTCTTCTTCCTCAAGTCATCACCACCTAAAGACAATTTCCTCCATTCCGTACTGCCCATTCAGCACCAAAGCACCCCTCCTCCAAGTCGAAGAGACTCCAAAGATGTTAGTTTTGTAGCGTGTTTACGCGCTCAAGGGATAGCCAAGGGATGGGGGGGCAGAGAGAAGATAGGAACCCGGCCGTTGAAACCGAGCGAAATGACGACAACTGCGACTCCCGCGGATTCTGATGTTACACGGGACCGGGGGTTTCCTGCGACGAATGAAGCGACCAGCGGGTAAACACTTGATAAACGGGCCTGCCCGGGCGGTTGAGCTCGCGGCCAGTAATCCGGCACTCGGCCCAATCAACGCCACGGTCGCCGACTTGTGTATTTTCATGTAGTATTCGTGTATTTTGACAGGAGTATCAGTGTAGGCCTTAATTGGCGCACGGGATATCCAAGCCGCTTGCATGTACAATGGCAAGCATACACAATCATCTGGCATGCCCCAAAATGGTTTAATTACTTCAAGTAACGACTTGCCACCAGCGAACGAATATTAATGTCGTGCACAAGATTTGTATTTTAATAATTAATGAGATTATGTTTGACAACACGTTTTAAAAAGCTTTGATTTCTGAAACATAATTCAACGAAGCGGACACTTGAATTGGGCATTTTCTATCTATATGAAATTATGAAACACTTTATTTGCGTGTGAGGGTGGCTTTTTGGGTTTCCTGTTGAAGTTATTTCCTTTACCAGTAGAAATGTTGACAAACACACTCAACGGGAAACTTGAGTGATCGACAATACATACCTATGAAAGTTCAACAAATTCTAGGATTTACTTATGCTAAGTGTCGCCAGAAAAATATTGAAGTCTGAAAATGGAAACAAATAGTACCACAAGTAATGCGTTGGAGAGATGTAATTTCTCATCCGTCGATCCTGCTCGTGTTATTGTGGAATTCGGCTTTGTCATTGGTGTTTTTCGATTTTGGTTTGTGTGCAAAATGTAATCCAGTGAGTCCCACAAGTTTTGAGATATCCGGTTATTTTACCACAGAATGCTTTATTTTACCAAATAATTGGGAAAAAAGCCGGAATTTAGACATAGAATTTGGGCTGAGCTAACAGAGTAAATAACAGTTAGTTTTAATCACTCGAACCACAAGTGTGAATGTACTGTTTGTCTGATGACTCTAGACAGACTACTAGCCGGCTGTTATTTTTCTGTCATCGCCGGAGTTGTTTGTTAGTTTGTAACATAGTTACCGCTTCTCTTCAAAGCGCCGCTCACAGTTGAACAATGCAGGCCACGTGACTCGGGACAGATCGGCTGCACTTTTAAGGTTAGCAAAATATGACTTTCCAGTCAACAAAAACATCCGAAAGTGACCCAAAGATTTGTTAATCCCCACAACCACAAGTGCTCCGGGTTTCCGGTTCAGCGTTGTTCGGCCCTGCGACTTAGGGCCACTAATCATGATAATCGCTGAACTCCTGGACGTATGAAAGAAAAACTGTCTGCCTTGTCGTTAATTCTGTCCTGACAAAAATCACTTGAAAAAGGGGGGGGGGAGAAGGCTTCGGGCCTTTATCGTGGCTGTTACAGCGGTCATGTCAAATCATAATTATTCGCCAGAAAAATAGAAGGGGATTATGACAGAGGGAAAACCACAGCTTTAGTTTGTTGGGCAAGGTATGGTACGGGCGGCCTGAGGCTAGCGGCAAGTTTGGTTGAACCTGCTGCCCGGTGTTTGCCAGGCAAGTGCTCTAGCTCTGTGCTGACGTACTTTCTTCCGTGTACCGGTTGCAGGGTGTAGCTTGGCGTGTGGTTCGATACACGACTCAATGCCGATTCATCAGTTCTGACCGTCTAGGGCGAGGGCCCAGTTGCCGATTGCCCACTAAGCAAAATTTGTCGTGGTTGACAAGCCCTGAGGGATGAGCAGGAGGCCCCGGATTTTCGAATCTGCTCATCACGTGAGCTTTGTGCTTACAACGAGCCAAAAAAGAATGCGAGCAAGTCTATTACGCGTGTACAATCTTATTATAAGGGCGCGTGTAATTTTGTCGAAACCGTGAAGTAATCCGAAGGACTAGCGCTCATCCGCACAAAACGCCAGTGATGGTCACATCATCCTGTTCAAAAAATAAGATTCTATAGAAACAAACGCAAAACAATAATTGACGTTCCGCTCACTGTCTTTGGAAAAATAGACCAGACTATTAGACTCATGCCTCTAGAAATGCATGAGTCTAATAGTTTTAACAAACTGCCGATGCCGTTTTGGTGTCTGAATTGCTCATGGTTCAAGAGCCGTCCTGTCACCGAAATAATTTCAACCAGAACAAAAAAATAAGCATTTCTTGTCCATAGCTATTTACGCTCAGAGTGGAAAAATCAGTCCCCAAAAGAGATTGAATTCGATTGAGGAATATTCATCTCGACATGTCATGGAAATATGGTGTCTGGAACCTGAGTGTCACGTGACAGAACGGGGCACGGGGACAACCCCACCAGAAAAGTGCAAGCGGGCGACTCCAACACATATTCGGGCGGCCTTTTATGTCTGTGTTAAGCACGCTGGGTTACACTCAAAAAGAACTATCGCTTGCGTGCACGCACCGATTTGCAGAAAATCCCCGAATAAAAACGCCAGAAAATGACAAACATAAAAGCCGAAATCTTGGCAAATCAGCGAGGGCAGAGATTACAATCGTCTTTGGCGGTTCACAAAGCCAAGCCCTCAAAACTAAATAATATATTTTTCTGTAATATATTGGATAGAAGGAGAGTCCTTCATTATGTTGCCAATGCAGCAAAAATCGAAACTGTGAACCATGCTAAAAATACGCCATTTGGAAAGCAATCCTTTCAGGAAATAACTCGATGGCCAAAGCTGTACACAAAAGACGAAAAATATTATAATCTGAAACCAAATTACACAAAAAGCGAACTCGTTCTCTTTTTTGTTCGGAAGGTTAAATCAGCGGTCTTACAATCTTACAATCAATGACGAAAATTTTCACCCCACAAAAAGTCGACAGAAAAAGAAACACATGAAATGGAATCATATTTTGAAAAGTACGTTGACGTCTGGTGGCGATTTTTTTTAATCCGGTTAGCGAATCTGCTTTTCGTGCACGTTATTAACTGGATTAGGCCATTGTAGTGTCTTTTGTGTTTTCATGCGTTTATGATTTTTTTTCTTTTGTCTCCATTTTTTTTCTTTACTCGTGTTTGCCCCATCAGGCCCCCAAATCACACGCAAACATCACTGGGATTACGGGCTGTGTGGGGACAACGAGGCACAGGTGCGGGACCAGCTCTGGTAGGTGATTCCCTGATGGGGTCAACCGCTGGACGACCAGGATGTTGGCTGGGAGCTTTCTGTATTTTTCGGAATCTGTTTAATACTTTGTACCAAATTCAGCCGTTTTGGGGTTTGGGGGTAATCTTGTTTATGTGAATGGTGGATTGAGCCAACATTAATTCTATCTGTAAAAAAAACTGTCTCGCTATCATTTGCTGAAATGTTTGGAAGTTGTACTTTTGTGTCAAGTTCCCAAACTCTAATGTTTAATTGATAATAACAATTATCAGTAGTCTAAACATGTTCGATATTTACGATAACATACGGACTAATACCGAGAAGTGTTTAGTTGTGTTAAATTGCTAAACTCAAGTTTCGCAGCAAAAAAGGGGGGGTGCACCTGTACCTACTTTCAAATTTAGCCAACTAGTGAGACAGTCCTTTTGGCTCGAAGATGTATCTCTTCCAGACACCACAGTTTGCCCCCCCCGAAGGTCAAGCGCTTTGATTTTTCAATTCGTTCCATGCTCCTTTCAGAAGAACTGCGTTTTTCACCTCAAAAAAGAGCGCTCCTTTTACGGTTGTGTGTGCCTGTTTCTCTCGTTTTGTTTGTTTGTTTAATGTGTCTTTCAGGTTGTGTAAGAAAGACGCTAACCTTTTCGCCGAAAATCGAGCACCGAAAATCGAACATTAGAAACTACAGTAAGGAAAAAATTGTGATATCCGATTCTGTATGAATAATCTACATAGTGTCAACAGATCTTGTGAATTGGAAAAAGTCACCCGTCATGCTTGCGTCTATATTTATCCGTGTGCCTCCCTACCTTTTTCTCCGTCTGGCGCTTTCGGTGTCCCCCTCTGTTCTCTACCTGCTCTCGAAAATGTCTTTCCTAATTTTGACCACTACCCCAGTTCAGCACCTATAATGTTATTGGTTTATATCTTCTATGGCAGTCGTCGAATACTGAATTTAGAAAACGTCTTTCATTTACCAACACGAGAGTGTTTCTGTTTTTAGGACAAAAGGCGTCGATTTCAGTCCAAGGACACGTGACAACCGTGACCCATGGTAACAGTTACTTCCTCACAGCTATTTTTAAACTAAAACCTCCGCGGTAGACTATTCTAGTAGAGGCATTGGTCGTTTCTCAAGGCGGAGGCTTCTCTGTGTACCAGGGATAAAATGATCGACCCCAACTCAAGAGCAGAAATTCATCATCAGACAGGCAGCAGGCAAGTACTGTAGACCGGGAGACGGATGGAGAGAGGCACACCACAGCCCAGGAACAATCTGCTCAGAGTCCCCGAGGGAAAATCCTAAAATCATTCAGTCTGCCCGGCAATGCCGAAACTTTTTTTTTACCTTGTACCGAGGGCTCACCCTAATCTCATTCCACGCTCGGCTGGCCTCTTTGAGAGATTTGCCCTAGGCTCTCATTTCAAATTTACACTGTTTTCGCGCAACGAACAATGGGAGATGCTGGCCTCTGCATGGGATAGGCTTTATTTTCAGGAGTTTTTTTTAAGGGGGGGCTGTCTCGAAGGTAACTGTTGACAGTTGGCTTCATATTGGTGTTGCACTTTCGGGAGAGAGAAGTTGCAGGTGATTGCGGGCGTTGGTTTACAAACAGGACGAGGTAGGGTTCGGAGCAGTAGCGACTCTGCAAGGAATTATGGGACGGGGTTAGTGGGGTCCAACCAAACAGCGGTATCTTGTCAGAGGAGGGAATTCACGGGTTTAAATCCAAATTTTTCAAGTGGATACTGCCCCACAATACAAAACACTCACAACAGTTCCTTACATTTCGAGATGGTCAGAAACAATTGAACAAAGAACGTTGTTCTTAATCTGTTCTATTATGGACAATACCTCAAAACACACTCACACCCATAGATAGTGTATCCAGTTTAATAAAATGTAGACACTCCATTCAGCGCTCGAAATAAAAACCTGCCCACGTACCGCTGTAGTTACTCTCCTTAGACGCTATGAATGCAGAGCTGTACATAGAGAAAGAAGCGTCAGCTTCAGATTTTGGAAACAAAATGGCTGTTCATTATGTGAAGTGCGCAGACTAGCGGTGCGTGCTGCTATTGTATACATTGGCGCATAAAGACACCCACTTACGTTACACCTAAATTGGACATTCCTTTATTTTCGTGCAGTTAAGAACACTCGGTGAAAATACTAATTTTTCTTGAACCGGGAACATGATTTTAAGTTGGATTTTTGTAAAATGTTTCCTTAACTGTTCCTTTTATGACAGATGACTCTAACTCTGAAATGCCTCTAAACTTCTTTTTCAGAGAAGGGGAAACGTTCTGTGGACATGGGTAAGTCCACAGAACGTCTTCCCTTCCTGCATCGTGTTGACATTTTTTCGGGAAGTTCACAAGTCCACACTAGGCATGTAAGGTCAGCGCCTTGCCAGTTTGTTTTTCAAGAATGGTGACGCTCATGTCGCAGGTTTTTCCATACACCGCTCTGGCTTAATGCAGAGCTGTTTATGGAGACAATTGCGATGTGAGTGTCTCAATAGTCGCAACCAAAATGGTGGATTATGCGTTAGTGCACATGGGCAATTGGCACACAATAGCTGTATGCTTTACTGCAGACGTAATGAGCAGCCACATCGGTTTCGAAGTCCAAAGCTGGCGCTGCTCTCTCCGTAAACAGCTCTGGCCTAACGATGGCAAGGGCGCCCTCTGTTGATGCGAGTAAACATTAATGAACGCCGCAAATGACCCGATATCGGAGACCTCTGCATTTGATTCTAAAAGAGTCCCCTTGAAACCAGAGCTTTGCTTAGTTCGAGCTCATTCTCGAAACTGGCACCAGCCAATTTGAAACCCCACACGACACTGCACATGGTCAAAACACCGGTCCCAATTGGGAGTGCACTCCCAGAATTATTTGGGGCTTTGTACTAAACATTACTGAGTGTCTTGGTTAAGCCGCTGTTCGCCTTCTCGTGTATTAATTCTTTCATGTCTTCATGAATCCTCGCTGAATCTGTCAGCTGTCTGTAAGGTTATATAAACGAGTGTCACGTATAAAGTTAAAGTCCTCATCGACGAGACATCCACAGGAGCTAGCTGTGGGAGACGTTTTCCTCCCCGGCACAGTTATAAAGGAACGGAGGCTAAGGCAGCACAAAGCGAGGAGTGGCTGACGGGACGGACAGATGGGTTGTGCCGGGGAGCGACAAGGGCGGGACCACGGCACAGGAGACCCAGGGTAATTCCCCCGGACTGTTTGTTTATGGACCGAGAGGGGAAATTTGTATGCAAGGGCCTTCTTGGGCAAATTGGCTGGGTTTGTCCCGGTCCCTGCTCTGCTGATTTAAACTCTGCCACCCCGCTTCTCTTCACTGAGGCACGCACGTTGTGCTTGGATGGTTGCATCACGAGGGATTAATGGTAGATTGAATTTACCCAGCATGCCCCTGAGAGAGCAACATGACTGCTCGTGATGTTCCTGTCACATTTCGTTCTTCAAATTTAGTATCGATATTGGTGAGGGGTTCATTTTTTTTTCATTCAGCTTATTAATTTGTGAAGGCCACAAATACCCTCTCGGTTTTGTTTCTTTTAAATTTCGAATATTTTGTGAACAGACACTTTCCGAAATTCCCGCAGACTGAAATATTACTGAGTAGCACTGTGCTAAGCTACTTGAGCGAAATGCCGGGAAAAGTCGCAGAGAACGGCCACCCGCCTGCCATTTCTCCACAATCTGAAAATCTTGTGCTTTTTATTTCTGGCGTCTACAACTGCCCATTTACCGACCCTTTGCACGGGTACTCTCCCCACCCTTCTCTCTACTCCTAATCTGGCTCTTTAGGTCCACCGCCGCAGAGATTGTCGACTCCGCCGTATTCTCTTCCTCAAGTGCCCGGTCATTGTACGGTTGGACACGGTCCATGATCTTAGCTGGTGGTGAGTGTTTGTGCCCGACTTTTTGGCGTAATTAAGTCCACGCCTGGCTACCCCCCAAGACTGCCATCGTCACAGGGTGGTCCTGGCAATTTTGTCACGTTTTGTGACAGTCGCACTATGAGTTACATTCAGCATTTCTCTATGCCGGCATCTAATTGGCGTAAACAAAAAAACATTTAGTGTTTTCAGCAGGAGACAAGTTGTTGAAAAGAATTGGCTTTTACCCTGGTTCTTGACCAGCCTCCACTTTCTGGACGGGTTTTTTAAAAATCATCTGTAAATTATTATTACTGTAAAGTAATAATAGCGTCGGCCTGCAAAGATCACACGCAACATCAATAGCATCTAACAGTAATAGCAGCAACAACGGCAACAGCAGCGATAGCAGTAGCAGGAGGAACAACAGCAAAA